AGCCCCAAGTACTATTATGCATCACAGGCAACCAACTGTGACACAAATTTATTTTGCATAACCGCTATAAACAGTGGGAGTATGAGCGATGGGCTTCTCAAAAACTTTCTCCGCCACAAGCCGTAGCATTTCAGAATGAATTTCAGAAACCTTCGGGATATTACAAACAAAATAAATCACCGAGGTCAGTGACAACAATATTTAAAAAAAAAGAGCAAAGACTTATTTTATGTTGGAAGATAATCCAATTATTTTGCAAGTGATAAAAAAAAACGCTTTCTATTGAAAAACACACTATTTACCAACAGTTCTCCAAAATGTTGTGTCCTTCAGCTTGGCAGCGAGGACTGTGGTAATTAAAAGAGTTAAAGCAGCCCAACCTACCTCCCCCCACCCTCCACCAAGTCTCTAATCTGATGCCTGGGTCAGGCGCTTGTAGATTCTAATTTGTCCTCTGCACTATTTGTATTCATGACATGATAGCTCTGAATATTTAACAGCAAAGCAGCAGGAGTGTGTTTTGCAGGGCTTGGAGGTCAAATAATTTGATTTTCTAGCAGATTACAGTTAACGGCATTGTCCGGTCGGGCGCTTGCTGGTTTGTGAAAGCGCACAGGATATTATCCGGGAACAGCCAGTAAAAAGTTAAGCTGCCACTAGAAGTAAACGTGTGATCAATAACAGAATATTCCAAAAGGCAAAAAACACTTAAAAACATTCAAATCACGTTATTTCTGTTCTCACCAATTTTATACCAGAGAAGAATAAAACAATTTATCCCTGTCAAAACAGTGAGTTACATCCTGCTTAATCTACTTTAGATGCTGCTCTGAATGTGTGATCTGTGTAATTTGGAGCCGGTCTGAATTCAAAAACACACTTCAAGTCCCTTTATTAGGCAAAAGCAATTTTAGGTTTGAATATAGCCTGTGTGAAGAATAAATTGGAAGTAAATTGATTAAAGATGCATTTAGTACATGGAACACTTTGCATTTATTATGCAATGATCTTGTGCTAGCAATTCACATTTGCTTTGTTCTAGACAAGCATCATGACCAGGAGAAAGATAAAAACTAGGATCCAATTTTCATTTCAAATAGCAGATTACAGTTAACGGCATTGTCCGGTCGGGCGCTTGCTGGTTTGTGAAAGCGCACAGGATATTATCCGGGAACAGTAACAAAATATACCAAACTGCCTTCATAGCCAACACGATTTGCCTACATTTTAACTTGTAAATAATCAGTTAAAAACAGGGCAAAAGATGAAGTCAGAATATGTGGAATGGAATTGCATTCAGATAAGTATATTAAGAAGTCCATTACTGGCACATCTTCTCACAACGGTACATATTTCAAATATTTCCGATTTTATAATAAAGCTAAACTGAAGTGAATTGAAAGATCTCAGATGTTTCCAAAGTTGTGCAGTTTTGGTGTCCCAATATAGTCTCGCATTGCTGCGCATTGTCAGCTTAGAATTTGCCTGCAAAACACACAGTAACAACACTAAGTAACAGTAACTACAGTAAATCCTGTGACACGCTTTGAGACGTCCTCCTGATATGAAAGGCCCAATACCAAATGCAAAGAGTATTTAATTCCCATGTGTTATACTTCAGATCTCAGCTGTGGCATCAGTGGAGGGGAGCTGTTGAGCTGAAGTCAACCCTTCCACTAGGCTAAAACACTAGTCCATAAATCTCATATGCCTCACAGGAGATGTGCCAGACAGTAACTTGGTTGCTTATTTTCATTCTCTTTTGATGTAACAGAGCACAGCAGTCAGAGAGAAGGAATACAATTCCTTAAAAACAGAAACGATGGCTGCATAAAACCACTGCTGACGCTAAAACTGAACCATTCAGACCTACGATTAGTCAGCTAATCGCAGTCAGGATCAGAGAAAATGACTTTATAATTGTCCACAGAAGTAGAAAATACAAATACTTTTCAAATGAAATTGTTAGTGCGAGAAGACGAGGTAAATATACTCACACTTTTCTAATTTATTATGTATCCCTTGCCTTGCCATTGACAAGTTATCCCATCATTCATTTTCTCACTGTCTGTGTTGTTGAGGTAACATATTGAGTGACAGTCAGTGTCCATTGATGCACGAACAATCACCACAGACTAAGATGAAGTTATGTCACAAATGGCTGTTGACTCCTAATCGATAACAGCATTTAAAACGTATTTAAATAAATAATCGAGAAAAGGGTATATTAAAAGGTGTGGGGAAAAGCATGGGAATGGAACAAGTACAAGTAGTTCCAGTGGGTAAGCAAGTACCACTGATTTGGTTATCTTTTTCTGTTTTTTAAATATTATATGATTCAATGACATTCATTAATTTCTAAGCCTCAACTGGTTGACAAACAGAATCTAGGAGCTAATTTCCAATCAATCAAAGGGCTTTTTGTTAGGGACTTCCAACTCAAAAATTGTTAATGCATCCCAACATATTGAGAAAATGTAAGTAACATGTTTAATTTTGTTAACAAAAAGGTACCGAATAGATTGATTTGGCTAATAGGTAGAGATAATGTAAATATGCAATCAAAATAATAGCCCAAGGATGGATTTAAAAGGAAAAAAGGGTAAGAATTATATTTATTTTAAGGCTACCACTAGCAGAAAGTATTTGTTTTGTCGAGAAGAAATGAAATTTTTTTGGAAAGAAAATGACTCACTCAGAAACCTAGAGAGCAATGTAAGGGTTAAGAGAAACTGCTAGATTTATCAGCGGTGTACATCACTTCACTGTTGATTGGCAGTGCATCCAGCAAGTATAAGTGACGTCAGTGTACAGGATATCCAAGTGGATCAGTTACTGCTAATCAATAAGAACATAAGTAAGCATTCAATGCAAAAAGGCATTTGACCCATCAACCCTGCTCCTCCAGCATCAGTGTACAAACCACTCCGGCAAGGACTCTAACCAATCTACTCAACGTCTCACATAAACCACTTTGCAAAGTTTCTCTCTGCCCCCAAGATAAAATCCAGCAAAATTCCAGAACATGTGCATGACTCTGATTCTTCCTTGACACGGCATTAACAGATCCCATCAATATAAGAACTATTTGCCATAAATATTCAATCAACTCTACTGTCCCTTTCTATCTGACATTGTATTTTCTTAGAATCCCAATTCCTAACGCGATATCTGTCCGACACCTTTTAAAGGGTTTGGTTAGCACGGTGTGATGCTTTTGTATTTTCCCCAGGTATTCCAGAGTTTCTCCAAGTCTTTTTTTGCATAACATGGCAAAACTTCATCTCCATTTTTGTAAATTATAATAAGTGGCTCCATACCATATTTCCATTTCAAAATATGTTTTTCTTTCTTCAATTTGAAGAAATATTGTGAAGGAGTCCCATAAACTTCCTATTTGTGAGTTATCACTTAATAATCCGATAAGGGAACAGGATAGAAAAGGGAAAAGGAAATACAAACACCTTCAGGATGTTATGTTACGTCTCACAAACCCAACGATTGTCCATAAGTCTGGACAGCTGGATGCAATCCCTACTTTCCACATTTGCCTTTGGAAGGTTAATGATGAGCAATGAAATAGGAGTTCCTGTCAAGCCAACGCTGGACTTGCTAACGTCATTCTTGAGCCAAGAGCGCATATACATTGCCATTGTAGATCATTGGTGCTTCTCCGCCCTAAAACTCTGGAACTCTCGCCCTCAATCCCTCCACCTTGCCCCCTCGCTCCCCACCTTCAAGTCCCAACTAAAGACCTTCCTTTTCGATCGTGCTCACGGTCATTCCCCCCCCCCCTCCTCCGCCGGCTCGGTGTCAGACTCCTGAACTGTCGAGCTCTCTGGGACGCTATCCTGCGTGAAGGGCACTATAAAAATGCAAGTTGTTGTTGTTGTTATTGTTGTAAGTTAGGTTCAAGAGTTAAATCGATTTAAAGATGTGAGTTTGAAATTCCTATTGCTTATGCTAGTGCATGTTTCCCAATTGCAGGGAATATTCCTAAACCAAAAGTATGACCTACACAGGCAAACTACAGATGATGCACCATCTCCAAAGAATTATATTTTCACAAGTATTCCTAATTATTCTGAATTATTTAAAAGACTATACAGTTTTATTTACAACATGTTCATCTGTGCTCCCTTGTGTAAATATATCTTGTGTTACAAGGTGTATCATGTCTTTGCCATCATATCTTTAAACTGAGAGCTTCCTTCCTCTAACTGTAGATAGAGGTTTCGATATGAAATCAGATTTCAGCTATGTAGCTTAGCTCTGATTCTTGGTTGAAGGCATTAACCGCAAAGCCTTTCTCTAATATTGTTTCCCCCTTCCCCGACCAAAAATATAAAGAACAATGCAACACAATAAACAAATGCTGCATTTCAGTAACAACTCTGCAGTTATGATTTCCATAACCTAAGAGTTGTGACATCACAATATGACATTTCTATATAAAAAAACTATTTATAATCCCCTCAAAAATCGTATTTCTTTGGAAATGGTCAGTTAGTATTTAACAATTCAGTAATACAGCACTATCTTTCCCCACCTCTCCCCCAATATCAATCCTATCGTACTTCCAAATAACTTTTTTGGCCTTCTTCGAATGCTTCTTCCTTGCCTGAGAGGGCAAGGAAGCAACTATTTTTACATGAAAAATTGCAACTAAATGTGGCGGAACATCAATGTTCTTAACAAAATGCTTAAGTTGCGTTTGCTTGAAATTCGAAAAAGCATATTTGAATACTCATTCAAAACTGAACTGTACTGCCGGGGTACACAAGCTATGGAGCGCTCAGTTTTTTTTTCCATTCCTAAGAAATACCCTTCAAACTATTGACTCCTAAGTCATATAACACAGGCGTCTCACCATTCCACATCATGCAAACATCCAACTCTAAATTGAAGGCATTTTCAAACCAGTAAAACACACAGTATTGGGTAACATTCACAGCACATCTGGAAGGATATAAATGCTTCCTGTAAAAAAAAAAGGTTACCTTGCTCTCGCTTCTTCTTAGCATCATTTTCCTTCCTTTCTTTTGCCTTTAATAGTTCATCCGCTTTTGCTGAAATTTAAAAACATTAAACCATTTAGAAAATCTCATATTCTGAATTGCCCTGAATTACCCCAATTCTCTGAATGAACTTGCAATTCAACATCATAGTACGAAAATCTCTTTAAAATAACTGTACTGTAACTACACATTACAAACCTCTCCCGAATAACCATAACCTTTATAAACCAGCTGTTTTAAATGTACTCATAAATATGTTTGAAGTCCACTGCTGCTGTCACCATGGCTAACATTTTAGAAAAAAATGCTTCATTCTTTTATTATGCATACACGGGGACAAAATAGAGATCAGATTCATTAGTTAACGAGTTTGTGGGTTATATTTGAGGACATACTCTATAAATACAGTGGATCTTGACTATATTGATCAATTTCAGGCAGGTTCAATTTTGATCACTGTAACAGGAGCAGCTGGCACCTATGTTTGCCTTTCATTTTACTTTCAATTGTAAAATCAGTTCCAACCTGCATTGAATGAATTGATGCCAACATTTCTGTGCAGAATGGAACAAAATAGGGCCATCATTCAGCTTTTGTGTGTTTATCAATCTAAGTGAATAGTCAGTAGAAGGAGTGTTCTCTGAAAAGTTTGTTGTACTTTAAATAAATATAAATGACTTGGTTGATACTTGTGCTGAGACAACATTCCTTCAACTGCAAAAGACAACACATCTAAAATAAATGTCCTTCTAAGCTCCTATTATTATTAGCTGGAAGTCCTCAAAAGCAGAACTCAAAGTTACTTTTAAAATGTCCCTTTCACAAAAAGAGAATCTGAGCACCAACTTTCACTTCACTGTTATCCTGGCACTTAAACAGTGCAGTGAGTTTTGGCTATATATTCCTACTCTATAAATTTCCCCGTAAACTTCGAATGAACAGTCAGAGGAAGCACAGAACCTTATCCTGGATGAGAATGGAAATCAAAAGCAGTATTCAGGACATTGCAACCATAAATCCACATTTTTAATAAAGTATGATCTGAAAGTACTTCCTGAAGCTTTGAAATTGAAAGCTTAAATACAAGTTAAAGAAAGCAAAGCTCCACATCACTAACAATGGGAGATGCATTGTAAATCATAAGTAATCTAATGCAGGTATCCTGTATAAAGAGTCGGGCGTGGGTAATCCCAACAGCAAGCCATTAACAAGGTGCAGGTCTATAAGAAGCATTTGAAACAACAAATTACACAGAGTTCAAATAGGAGTTTGGAAATTGGTCTCAACTATCTGACTTCACCAATGCTAATTTCCATTACCGTCAATAGACATTGTTTAGTAAACTGAAAACTTTTTTCGAAATTAGGACCAACGGCTCTTAGCTGCAGTAAACAATGACTTTCTGACATTTATATTATTCCAATTGCCCTAAAAAGAAATATTCAAGATTCTTACCATTTCAACTGATTCATGATATTCCACAAATGATGTAATAATAATAATAATAATCCTTGCAATTGATTTGGCGCTTTATCACTTCATCAAAATGACTCAAAGCGCTTCACAGGATACACTTGTGAAGTGGTGTGAATGTGTAGAAGATCAGAACGTTGAATACTTTGGTACAATCAGCATAATAATATTAATAAATTAAAAATGTTGGATTGCATTTCAATATTAAGCACATGGGGAAGCCTTTTTCCCAAACTAATCTTTTTGCACATTTCCCATAATGATTCTCTTCATATTTACTCTTACTGCACAATCTATCACATATTCTCTGAAGTAGTTTTCAAACACTTCAGTACAGATGTTAGAAAAAGATTAACATACACTGCCAAGTAACCAGGGGTTATCAATAAACTCTGCAAATTAATTAAATTTCTGTTCCAGCATATCATTTATTTCAATGCATAAATGTCTCCAGGGAAGCATTTCTCTTTATTGCTAAGCTGCTGGTGAGTGAACAATGTGCAAAGAAGTCTCTTTGATCACAGTTTCAGGCTTGCTTTGCCTTGCTTGCATCACGCTATAATCAATGATTTTCCAATTTCAATCAGCAAAAACTCTGCCAATTCTTGCCCACTGATAGATGGGTGAATTGTGTAAAACCACCCAAATTGTATTGCCATCTTATTTTTTCAGTTATTGGATAATACTGATGGTGCGAGTGACATGACGGTTTGAAAGCAGTGTGCAAATTAGAATAAGGTTACAAACTTAGGAATGCACATATGAATGTTTTAAAGGATGTAATTTTGCTGCCAATTGAGTGCTGTGTAGGTACTGCTAATGCGATTTAAATCAAGCCTCTAACCACTCTCCCACAATTCCAGCATATTAAATTAGCTTACAAAAACAAGCATTTAGAATGGTAAAGACCTATACTTCATTTACACTTCATTCTCACCGCCGGAAAGGAAAAGATAATAGAAATTCCTTTTAAATTCAATTTTGGCTATAAGTGTAATTGTAGATATACCCCTTGAGTCATGTAAAACGTTTGGCTAATGTTTCATTCAAATTATCCTGCTCCAGTACGCATTCTGTGCTTCACAAAGATCTTCAAAATGTATTAGCAGAACTCATTAGGCTGAAATTTAATAACAAAAACATCAGGTGGATTTCAAGAACGCCCATTATCAGCAGAAGATGGATAGCTTTTATGCTGTTCTGTAGCCAACTGGGCACAATTTAGATTCAACTAACTAATGTGCCTGATTTTGATTTATCTGCTGTACTTCACCAGGTTTGTCTTTTATAGTGATCTTTTATTACTCTTTAGCTTGATCAATTTATCAGAATTTTGAGGTGGTGTGGTGCTAGGCTTCAAGAAATGTTATTACAAAAAAAAAACAGATGAAGTATTCTCTGCACACTGGATTTAATAGGTAATTTGCTTCAGTTGTGACACTGTATAATTCATATTAGTTGCAAAAGTTACTGCACTTTCCGGAATTCGCGCTTGAAAGTGAAGAAAAAGGTGTTAAGAATGAGGATAATAGGTTATCCTCGATGTATAAAGAGCAAATCAGATACCTGTCCATCAGGAGGCCAATTGTCTCTTTCCCACTTCTTTTGAACTACGCCTATGTAATCCAACTGCATGTGATTCCACTAGCCTTCCCACCACTGCGAACACACACAAGTTCACTCAAATAGTTCTTGAATTCCACCTCTTCAGTTCTCCACCTGCCACTTATGACTTGTTCTCTCATCTTCTCCCTAACGTCATTCTGGAACTCGTGTCCAGACGAGTCCATGAAGCTTTCCAGCCTTCCCAGCAAAGAGTTTCTTTTTGAACAGACACGACATAGTTTGACTAACTTGTGATCTGTATAATAATAATCCTTACATTGGATATCGCGCCTCATCGTGTCTTCGAGACTTCTCAAAGCGCTTTGCAGAATATACTGTGATGCACTGAGTGCTTGCTGTCCCATTCATACAGAATACTTTATCTGTTTTTAGACTGGTCATTTATTGCGACAGTGTGAGTGGCCTCAGTGTCCAGGAGTTTGGGAGAAAGATTAGCCGGGTCAAGCTAATGATCATTTCAATGAAAAATAAGCACATCCTGGTCTGTTGTGCATCAATTGATCTGACAGGCAGCCACAGAATTGGCTGTAGGAAAGGTCAAATAAATAAAATCATTTTTAAAAAAATAGCACCTTTCACATAGCATGACGTCTCAGAGCGCTTCACAAAGAAGGGAGCGGACACTGATCAAGGGACAAAAGGGAGGTGGAGGAGGGAAGTGGAAAGTCACTGTAAGTGATAATATTATTATCATATATTTCTTGTATTCAGTATAAAAATTGTACCCCAAAATGATTTTTATGTATTCTGATTTAGGAGAAAATGTAAGACACTGTGAAAACCACAAAAGGATATCGAGCATTCAAACAAATAAGAATCCAAATCTAATTTTCTCTCAGGCTGAAGTCACTGCCAGGGACAAAGCAATGCGTTTATGCAATTTAAATACTCTTTAATTCAATCAATACTGCACAGTTGTGCTCATTGTCAATGTATTTTGGAAACAAACAAGTACAAACAAACCTCGAAGGTATTATGCTCTAAACAACGATATTCTGTTCATTCTATTTTCAGGTCTTTGATTATCATTTCAGTGTTGTGGTACAGCAATATTCAACAGCCACCAACACTCCAGGCACTGACACTCTCCCGGCCTCTCGGAAATTAATTGTGCTGCTGTTAGCCTACAATTAGTGCGGGATATGGTGTTGCCACAAGTTACCAATTGGTTGAATCCAGAACAAACCAACGTGAGCAAAACCTGTTGCATGTACGAGTAATGTGATGTATGTGATTGAAGGTCAGGGATGAAAATAACCAACATCCGACCGACCAGACAGAGGCAGGAAAAGAAAAGAAAAACTCTTTAGACAGAAATAATAAACGGGTACCAGCAACCAGATCTTGTAACATCGTCTCATTAAAACAAACGTTTGCGTTAAAATCACCATTGCATTATCAGTCATTGTCACTTCAAACAAACAAAGTACATGCACAAACCGCACAGAGTGAACATTTAAATGATTCTGCCTTGTGTTCGAGAAAATACCATTTTATATCGTATAACTGGTCTGGATAGCAGTAAAATACCCAGCTCCTAAATGTCTCGCTTCGATAAATATCTTCAGGTTCTTGAATGTTGGTATTCTGTTCTAAAGATTGCAATGCAATGAATTCAAATCCAAGGTTCAGATTTAGAGATCTGGGAATCGGAATTCTAATGTGGGGTCGGTGCATTGCTTCCTTATTGTTTTGGATTACTTTTGTGAAGATGTCAACTTGAATTAATTAAATAATATGGAGGAATAAAGACATTCACAGCTGATTAAGTAGGAAATGTTGCTGCTGATAAATTCTTCAAAATTATCTCATTTGCTCCTGCAGTAACAGAACATGTCTCCAATTGTATTTGCAAAGACAATATCTCTCCCACTGATACTTATCACTTAAAGGGGAGTATTATATTAAAAGGGACATTAGATTTTCGTCCTTAAATACGTTTGCAGACGCGA